CATTAACATAAATGCATTTTATTTCAGAGGAAAAACATTCTCTAGCTTTATTTTGTATGTATTGTTATTGTTGGTTAGGAGGTCTCTAGGGACTGTACCAATTTTTGTACTGAGTCTAAATAAATTATCCGCATTTCCTACAATCATCTTCAGCCACACATGGAAACTCACCAGCATGCTATCCACTTGCTCCTTTAATGTTTCTTTAATATACCTTGCATTCCTCTGTGGCCGGAGACCAGGAGTGCTAATTTTGATTTGATGAGATGAATTTATAAATATACTAATTGAACACCCGCAATTTTGCCCAGTGCTTGAGAATATTTGCAAACCTCCACTCTTCCTCCAGGCGACCCTATGTTGTTCCATTCATGTCACTCTGTATGTGATCCAGTGCTGTCGGCACTCAGTCTAACTGTTGTCACCTTCTCCACATGTTCATTCCTTGCTGCCATTGATTCTCCTCATTCCATCTCCACACTTCTGCTTATGTGGTGCATCTACACCCAGCCTCCTAAAAAGGCTCTGGACTATGTTCAAGACCATTCTTCTGGTGTTTCCAATGAGGTAAAAACAAGTTATTCTCTCTTTTTCAGATTTCTCCCTTACAGGCTGTGACTATGATTCTGAACATCCATGTTTTACATTTCACTATAGTGTCTAAGCTGTTTTTGAAAAATCTATCTTTGCATCATTGTGTTGTATCTATTTTCATTGCCTAGACATTAATTATACCAAAGATGGTGGCCGTTTCTGAACTCTAGGTGAACTAACCATTTATAGTTAAACTATTCAGTGTAGTTCTGGTATTCAGCAATGTGAAAATCAAAAATCAAAAGCACTAGTCTTAGTGAATTTATTAACCATCTGTTTTTATTAAGCTGAGTAAGTAATATACTATTAGAAGCCTTCTTAGTACCATTTTATCATCATGCTTAGAGGTGTAGATTAAGAGTTTAGATTCTTAGATAATCAGATGCCTATGTCCTACATATTCCTAAAATTTGTTTTTATTCTTTCATTTTTCTAAATACTTAGGACTTGTAGATTTTATCATCAGTCAAGAATAGGGCTGGCAAATACCTGGAAGTTGTGTGTCACAGTTTCCCAGCTCCACAACCTCAACAGACATTACTAATCCTTCCCGACACTATAATCCAGGCAGCCACTCTAACAGATAATCACTGGAACATGAGATGAAATGTATTTGCAACCTCTGTTTAAGAATGCTTATGCCAATCAGCTAGGTGAAAAATTTTTGCCAGGAAGTATAAATTTTTATTTGAATCAGACAAAGAGAGTATGAAAAAGGCAGAAACTATCCAGAGTCAAAAGCTTTTACCTTGATCTCTGCAAAGAAAAATGGAAAATTATTTTGGAAAACAGATAAAGGACTCACTAGAAGACAAAAGCAAAAATGACATAGTTTTGCTAACCATCTGCTATATACAAGCCTTCTTTTCAGAACTCTTAAAAGCAACTAGCATGGGAGCAAAGCAAATAAATTGATTTTCACACAATGGTTGCCCTTTGGTCTTAATTGAATACAATAACACAATAAATATCTTATTTTCATTGAAAAGTCTTAAATACGTGCAACTGAGAAAAAAAACTAGAACACTTTATGCTATTGGAGGTACTACTGACACATGGTGGTGACCACTGGAATTGCGAGCACCAAGTCTCAGGGGAAATACCCAAATTTTTAGAGCTTCAACTTGCAATTCCAAATTATTCCCCCTGTGGTAAGCATCAGAGTGTGTGTTAAAACAAGAAAGTGATCAAAATATTTATATATTAATAAAATAGGATAATCGGGAACATTCTGGGTTATTTAATTTAGTCATTTCTAAAGGCTTATACTTTGTAACCATGCAGCTAGTCCTGTAATCTGAAGAAAATAAGATAAAACAAGCAATTCTTATTGTGTATGTTATGTTACCTTCATATCTGAAGAAAGGAAATCATTTCAGCATATGAACAACCCAAGAATTTATTTTGAAATTCAATGTGGTCAGATATTTTTCTCAGATATTTTGATCAAATATTTCTAGGATGTGTTTGAGGTAATTGGTTCATTGAGACCTGAAATGCAATCAAGAGAGCATCATATCCAATTCACTCATTTTTCAGTTAAGAAAAGTATAGTGCAACGATTTTAAGGAGTCCAAAAATTGCATGGTAAGATGGTGGTGAAAAAAAATAAAACAGATCTCTCAACCTTCACTTCAGTGCTATTTCCTTTGCATCATGTATTTAGCACTTCAAGAGATGTATTTAGAGATTAAGTCTTTTAGAAACAAGTTATTTATGTAATATTATTCCTTGCTAACGAATGAATTTCTGTGAAATGAGTTCTAGTAATTAACATTACACAATAATACTTGGGCATAAAATAATGGGAACATAATTCTATGCATTCTATAATTTGATAGTAGTGGCAAAAAAAATCACATAAAAAAGCACTTTGCCGGTAATTAAAACTATTTGTCATCATCTCTTTGGGATTCAGAGGGAATGTTGTGTGATGATTCTAATAGCATATTAACTATGTTATTAATTTCACCTCATGGAAGAGTATAGGAAAACATACTCTCACAACATGTGGATTCTGTCTTTAATAACCTTTTGTTAAACATTTCTGGTAAAAATTGTAATTGGTTAGACATTACCCTTAGCTACCATTTATCAAGTGCCTATTATATTTCATGAATAACATATTCTTTTAATCCATAAGTATAATTGAAAAACTGACATAAATAAAAAAATAGTCAAGGACTTTTTTATTATTTACATTTGAAACATGAGGCACAAAATTAAGAACTTTGAAGCAAAGTTTAATCACATGATTTACTTAGCAAAAAGAGTGATTTAATGTCTGTACTTCATTAAAATGACGTTCTAGGTGTGTTAAAATAACAGTAATATGTAAATACTCAGTAAATCATAATAGATAAAATGGGTCACCTTTTTTCTAGAGACAATTTCCAACTCATGATGAGCAGCCTTCTTATAATTAGTGTACCAGTTTTTCTCTTAGTCATCAATCTAGACTTTTTACTCTGACCTTATAATTTAATACTGAATTTTCCCTCCTGAGTGTACACAAATCACAAAACTGGTTTTAGTTTATTTTGGATGTGGAAACCATCACAAGGAGGAATAACTGTAGTTTCTTAGCCTAACTCTAAAGCACAATTAATTCATCAGTTCTTACACTATGTTTTATTTCACATTACAATGTCAGTTAGGCTCTTCAATAGCTGACAAATTCAAAATTTCTGATCACTCCAGTGGTGTTCTAAGAGTATTCTGAATTTTGACACTTGTTGATGATCAGCAATTTTGACCACTTTTGGATGTCCCGTGAAAGCCATGATCCACACAAATGGCAATGCTCCTCTGCAAATATGTAGACTTAATATTTCTAAATTATAATATAACTATCTGTTTTTTTGGTTTTCAGTTTTTGGTTTTTTTTTTTTTACTTGACTGCTTTCTTTCTTATTTAGTATCTATTTTTCTAC